CAGTTTTATTTTTCCTCATTCAAACACTAGCATTTAGCTTATCACCGGTACCAGACTGAAATAAGTCAAAGAACACCTAAAATAAGCAATCCCAAGCACCCCCTAAATACATTCTGAAACAAAATATATGACAATCAATACATTAAATATTATGAGTAGATAGAAAAAAATCATATAAAATAACTTATGATCACAGGTTCTCAAAGTTATCACAATTCCATAGGTTTTCATATGATTAAGCCCACACACACACACACACACACACATATATATATATATATATATATACACACATATGTGTGTGAATGTGTGAATATTTATATATATTTGTACATATATGTATATGTGTATATATATAGGCGTAGATTTATTTGAAAGTGGTAAATAGAKAAGTGATTCTAACCTTTCATCTAGTCAAGATTTGTGTTTTTTAYTGTAAAGCACTGAATAATTCCTCACATGATATGCAGAAGATAGAGAGGTAGTTTCGTAACTTTTACAAATAAGTGACAAAAAAAGTGCATATGTGGATCTGTATGATTCACATATAAACTATATGTTCATATGTGAGCCCATACAGTTCACAATGAACTATTTTACTGATTCATATATGAACCCGTGTGATTCACCTATAAACTATTTAACTGACTCACACTACAACAAAATTGGTATATAGAATGCTACCAATAAATAAACATCCTAATAGATCAATTTGTAAGATAATTTATGGGATCCTTAAAATTGCAATAAGTTTATAGGACGTTTTTTAGCATTGTAACAAGTTCATTAGGACATTTTGTAAAAAACATCATATTAGCTATTTTATAGGACACTATTTGAAAAAGTATCCTATAAAAAGATGGGGTTATTTATGATTAATATGTATAAGTCTATTTACATAATAGTTGAATATAATAATAGTATATTTACTAAATGACCAAAAACACGAGTTTCAATCATTTTTTAGTACAACATAATAAAAAAGACAAGATTAACCGAGGTTGTTCAAACAAGCATAAGACAACTAAAATGTATTACGTAGCAATTGGGGTTATGGATTTTCAGTTTATGGGGGGTAGTATGGGACCCGTAGTCGGGGAGAAAATTACCCGTTTGATTGAACGCGAAGTTGGGATCATAAAAGTTAGTTAAGAAATTGTGAAACTGGATTTTACCGACAGTGCAGCTCCCGTACTTTGCTAATGTATAACTCACAAACTGTAAATCGTAATAAGCTCGTATCTTGCAACCACTTTCATGAAGGGTCGAAAGTCAGTTATGACTCTAATTGGCTCGAAACAGTGTGTTTTCGAGGTTGTTTACACTGTATTTGGGATTAATTTGTTTTTTTTGTAAAATTCGTATAAAATATATGGATAATCAAAATGAGGTGGGTAGATTCATATATCAAAGGTAATACTGATTCTTATAAATTTAATATATAAATGTGATCATCTATTCATTTAACTAACTTCAATAATTTAAAAAAAATTATCGTCATCGCGCAACGCGCGATGTCAAACACTAGTTATTAACTAAACTTGATCACGATATCCGTATTTAATAATTTAATAACATACATACGTTGAAGTTAATATATTTTATGTTCCAATATATTCTACAAATCAAAATATTTTAGTTAATTAACTCGTAGCATCAATCGTGAATTTCATACCTAAACTATAAAACATAACATAAAATAATCAAAACATAGGAATAATTATAAAAAAATCAATTCGAATTGTGAATTTTGCGCAATATTAATCCAAATTGTGGAAATATGATAATTAATATCTAAAATCCATATACTTTAAAGTTATATTATCAGGACTTGGGATCATGTGAGACCAAAGGTTTTTCGTGAGACCGGTAAGACTAATTCTCAACCTTTGGATTATATCTACAATCTGAACATTCATAATCACAAAATTGCCACGATACTTCTCAATAATCACAAAATTGCCACCGTATAACTTTAGACCATTAAATCATTAGCTTATAAAGTTAATCAATGAACATAAATTGGTCTTACGGGTCTCATAAAAAACCTTTGGTCTCACGTGAACCCAACCCTATATACCAGGATTTAAAATTTAAATATGATTTTTTAAAACTCCAAATAACAAATTTCGGACTCCAATAAAATTTGGAATAAATAAAGATAATTCAAATTAGAATTTTATAAACTATAAGGGCTGGGATTGCAAATACTAGAAAGTTGTAGCGGGTCTGGGTTGTGAGCAAGGTTTTGAGTAGCGTGAGGCGAGACATGATGTGGCGGTGTGGCCAAGCTTAAGCCTTGAAAGTAGAGATAACCAAAAATCGGTCCCAGGCTGGGCCAGGCAAAACCGGACCCAAATCGGTCCCGGTCTCAAACACTATTTCCATAACCGATCACGGTGTATCCGGTCTCAACCAAAAACCCAAGGCCCAGTTAAGGTACTTTGTAACCAGTTATGAGGATCGGTACCAGTTCTGGGCCAGGCCTAAATTGGTCCTATGTATTTTTTCTAAATTGATTTTTTACATAAATTTTTTCCCTGAAGATTTTTTAGATAATATAAAAGTGTTATTTTAATACACTTGAAAATATGTAATAGAATCAGTTAAATACATCTAAAAAATACGTTTTTTTTGCGAGAATACGAATTGAAATCACGAATTATAACAAGAATCATGAACGTTTTTGAGTTCGTATATTCCCATGTACACCATATGACTTATATATAGTAAATAGAGTGTATAAATGAGATAAAAAATGGGAAAAAAATGGTCATATGATCGTAGGGTGTCAGTAATAAAATAATAATATTTTTGAAAAATCGGGCCAGTCCCGAGCCAAACCCATAATCGGGTCGGGCCGATTTTTTGATGAAAAATCTAAAACCGGTCCCGGACCGTCGGTCCCAAACAGTCCTAAGCCAAGCCGATCCCAAGTGGGTCCCGGTCCCAGGTTGGGCCAGACCCATTTGGCCATCTCTACTTGGAAGCCATGATGAGGTCACGACATTTTTCATGGCGTAATATATAATCGCAAATCTATATAACATATATAATATCATATGTTTTCTTATGTACGAGAGCCTATTCTAGAACATTGTTCGTTGTACCATCTTCATTGAGCTTTGATTACTAATGGTCTTGAAATCCCACCAAAATTCTTAAGTGTATCTTCATCTATCACCTAATAATAATAATGGTAAGAATCATGGAGTAACTAAGAAATGTAATTGATAACGCCAATTTTGGCGTATTTTGGTACTACTTTCCGTTTAGTTAGCTCTTTTTCCAAGAAAACGAAGCGTTATTCTACGGGCTATCTGCAAAGCATATGATCTAAAAAAGGCTCTCAACAACACATTTGGTACTACTTTCCGTTGCCACAAGGGGATTTTTATTTCTCTTTCGATTTGAACCTGAGACCTTCTGATATTTCTGATCTTTAAAACCAAACTCAAATCAATCAAGTATCACCCTGGTGGTTTTGATAATTATTCGTTGTTGAGTGTTCTTGTGAAAAAGCTATTAAGATTCTAATCTTTTATGTTTAATTAATAAAATATAATTTTTTTAAAACGTTTCAATTGCTTTGATGCCCATATCACATGGTAAATATTTTAATATATATATATACATAGAGAGAGAGAGAGCGCGCGATAAAATGCAAACCACATTTATTTGTATAAACCGTGCAAACCATCTTTATTCGTTGATTTTATTATTTAATTTTATGAATTTTTTTCTTAAAATTGTTTAATCTTATAAAATGTTCCACTACGATAATTTTTTTGATGAAGTTATTTCACATATGTTTATGAAATTTTAATAAAATTGTTTTATGTATTTCTTTAAAATTAATATAATGAAGATGATAATATCCATGATTAATATTCTCCACAATAAAAATGATTAATCAACCTCTTATAATTACAAAAAAAATGAACAAAATGAAAAATTATGATTGGATGAATGAAATTTGTATGGTTATATATATATATATATATATATATGGGAGCGATCAAATGAAAACCACTCAATTTGTAAAAACCGTAAAAATYTCATTCCACCAATCATAATTTTTCATTTTGTTCATTTTTTTTGTAATTATAAGAGGTTGATTAATCATTTTTATTGTGGAGAATATTAATCATGGATATTATCATCTTCATTATTTTAATTTTAAAGAAATACATGAAACAGTTTCATTAAAATTTCATTAAGTAGTATATGAAACAATTTCATAACCATATATGAAATAACTTCATTAAAAAAAATATTATATGAAAAAATTTCACAAGATTAAACAATTTCATGAAAAAATTTCATAAGATTAAACAATGAAATCGACGTATGAGGGTGATTTGTACGGTTTTTACAAATGATGATGGTTTTCATTTAATCGCTCCTATATATATATATATATATATATATATATATATATATATATATAACCATAGAAATCAAGACATCAAATGCGAGCCAGTTGCACATAACATCTGGGTTTTCTTTATTATCTTTTTACCCCTTTCTTTTTTTTGCTTCATCTTCTTTAAACATTTTCTTAAAACCAAATCATATTCATATTTCTAACCTAAACCAAAATCTTAACAACAAAAATTCATAATCTTATTTGAGAAGATAAGCACTCAAGAATGCGATAAAGATGACGACAAAAAGCGATTCTATAAAACGTTACATAATATGTTTAAGTGTTCCAATAGACTGCTCAATACAATTTAAGTTTATATAATAACCAAGCAATAGTTTTTCATATATAAATATATTATAATTAGTTGATAACACGTTTTCCGCATTCCTCACAAGTTCTTTGAGACTATTTTGGAAAAATATAATGTTTTTTATTCAATAAATATATGTTTATATGTATGCATTCAAAAACTATTTTAGAGTAGTTTTTATAGTTCCGTATAATTTTATTGTATTTAGGTATATTTAATTTATTAATAGAAAATTAATATTAAACACACAACATTTATTAAATGTTAAAACATTAAATTGAACATATAATGTTACTATGGAAAAGCCTCGATGATCGACTGAATTGCAGGAATCTTGATAATATTGTAACGACAAAAGCCTCCTTCTTCAAGCAGCTTCTTCCATTCACTTTCTGTTCGTTCTCTTCCTCCAGAAAAGTGTGAAAACATCACCAAATCGTATGTAAGACGTGTGTCATCGAAAAAATCATCTTCAGTGGAATTCTGAACTACTTCCACAATAATAACTTTTCCACATTCTTTAGATATCGCTTTTCGACAGTTAGTAAGAATCTTGATACAGTCTTCATCACTCCAATCGTGCAAAATCCACTGAAATGCAAAGAGCAATATCATTATCCGTATTGTATGGTTTCAATTTCCATAAAAATATTCCTCAAGGAAATAACTATTACATACAACTTTCAGATTTTTAAACTTAAAAATTTGTATTAGAAAACGGAAGTAAAAGTAAAAGGTTAACGAAATGAACATTAAAAGTTCTTGAACAACAAAGTCTTTTAAGAGATATCGACAATCCAAAGGCACCACAAATCAACATGGTCTAGGTGGACGACCACATAGTGCTATGGGAGGTTGGCATGGCCAGAAGGTTTTTGCAACCTATGGCAGCCAAACGTACGAGTAAGAGGAACTATTGTTCTTATTGACCCCAAGGATTATTTTACTTTCTAAGTTAAGCTCTTATAGCCATGAACAATAAAGTTACCTTCATAAATATTGTTTCGGTAGGAGGAATGGTGTTAAACATGTCCCCAGGGACATGGGTAACCCTATCATATGTTGGTGCCGTGGAAATAACATGAGGTAAATCAAAGTTGATCCCTTTAAGATGTGGATATGTCTTCACAATCTCAGAAATTGCCACCCCAGTACCACCGCCAACATCAACGACGCTTCCTTTCAACCCAAGAAATCCATTCTTGTATTTCGATATGATCACATCTAAGGTGATCTTAGCACTGCACGACATGCCCTCGTTAAAGATCCTATTGAATTCTGAGTTATGATGAGAAAAATCAAACATTTCTTCTCCATGAGTCATTTTAAAGGTTGTACCACCTTCTTTGATGGATCGGCTCAGTACATGCAAGGGCAAGACCATTGATGGGTCCGTCCGCATCATAACCGTGGGTGCCAATGTCACATTTGTATCCAATAACAACCACTTAGAACAATAGTTCAGTGAGTAAACTTTTTCTCCCTCTCCCATTCCTTTTTCTGGTTCAGGCATTTCATCAAACACCTTTTTATAAACCAAGAACCTCATGAGTCGGCCAAGCCCATCCATGTTTATTGAAGGAGAGTTGATGCCACTAGCAATTTCAGACAAAGTGGCAGGACGACCATGATTGCTTATAATGTCAGCTATACGAAGCTCAACACAACATCTTAAAGCCATGCCATCAAGAACACCATATATGTAGCGTAATATTTGTGCCTGGCCTTTCAAGATTGCATCACCATCTGTTTCATCCAGGGTATTCTTCATCATCATCATCATCATGAGTGTCAAGAACCTTGCAGCCTTCAATGGAGTTATGGATGAAAATCTTGAAGAACCACATTCTTATAATAAGCCAACATAATAGTGGTTCAATTGGTTTCAGAATAGAGAGAGAATCATTGAAGCAAGTTAGGACATAAAAAAATGACATAAAAACGTGGGATATGCATGTGATTAATTATATATAATAAAATAAATGAATCAATAGCTCAAGATCTCCCTCTTGAGAAACGCAATCTTGTAAAGATCCTCTTAAATTTCATTTTTCAACGTTAAATTTCATTTTTCAACGTTAAATTTAATAAAAGAGAGAGATAAACATATTTTAAGTATATCTTTTTTTAGAAATTAATTAATTAGATAATAATTTTTATATATAAAGAAAAAACCCTTAAACAAGCAGAAGAAGTGAAGAATTCATCTAAATCTTCTGATCGAGTGGGGTCCGTAAAACTCACTAGGATAAGCGGTATTTAATGAAGTTGTAGGAGGGATATCTATAGAGCATTGCAGAGCAGATCATCTTTGAGGCCTATCTCGTATGTGTGACTAGTTATGCGTTTTGGATGGTAAGTGTCACCCCATTTAACCATGTCATCTTTAAAATAAATCTGTTAGCCATGTCGTCAAAAACACTGTTTAAACATAGACAGATTGATTTATTAGAGGCTCTGACATTGGATTTACTCCATGTGCACTCTTCATCTCCCACCTTGTTTTTTTGTCCCTAGCTATATAAAGAAAATTAAAAAAATATAATTTAATAAAATTAATATTAAATATATACATACACACTACACTAATATTTATTATATATATCTATACTATCTTATTAAGCAAATTTAACAAAAGTCTTAAAATACTAAACGACCAAAATACCCTTTATACTATCTTTAGGTCACTTTTTCACTTTTTCATCCCCCCTCTCCTCACATACACTCACCCTCTCACAACCGATCTTTTTAAAAAAGGTTTTCTAACCCCACCCTCTCCTAAAGGAATTATCCACCCCCTCCTAAGGACAAAAAACAAGTAAATGACAAATCTAAAATATTTTCATTTTTAACCTTTTTATATTTTCATTTTTAATCCTTTAACCTTTTTTATTTTCAAACTTTTAACCCTTTAGTTTTTTAACATGTTTTACAATTACATCTTTTATGTTTTTAATTTGTGTTATAATTATATAAATAAATTAATTTTATATTATTATTAATTAATAAAATATTAATAATACATATTTCAAATATAAATTAAATTTATTAATTAATAAAATATGAAGACATTTTTTTGGTTATCTATTTGTATACAAATGTATTACGATAAATTACAATATATTAAAAACTTTGATTTTTCATGTTAAATCAACATATTCACGAGTAAGAGTACGCTCTATATATTCTTCATATGCATTGAATCTATGTTGATACGGGACAATCCATTTGGCTTTGTCTTTGATCTTTTCGTAACAACAACACAACCAACTGAACGCCCCACATTGTGCACCCACTCAGTTATTTCTTCCCGAGAATTGAACACCTGGAAAAAAAATTATAATTTTTATTTGTACAAGTAAGTATTAATAAACCTAAATATCAATTAACATAATATTGTACCTCGTTGGTGAAAAATTCTGGTAGTGTTATCAAATCTTCTCCCATATTAGATTCGTTATAAGAGAGTGAAATATCGAATGAACGATTCATTCGTTCGTTCGATATATATATATCGATTTTTTTACTTTATTCCAAATCAATAACTTTACTTTATTTCAAATCAATAACTTTACTTTATTTCAAATCANAACTTTACTTTATTTCAAATCAATAACTTTACTTTATTTCAAATCAATAACTTTATTTTATTTCAAATCAGTAACTTTACTTTATTTCAAATCAAATTATTTTTACAATTATGTAAACAGGTACACATGTTAAAACGTATTTTCCTAACGTATTTTGTACTTAATGTCGATATTATTGTTCATAATRTAACATGTTACTRAATGTATATGAGATAGAATTTAATGTGACATGTTAAAACGTATTTTAGTTAATATAAAATTATGTATTTTAATGTGATAATGATGTAAAACAAAAATTAAAAAAAATATAACATATCATAAATTAAATAAATAACTATAAATTTAAATATTAAAAATATTTTTTCATAGGGGTATAATATATAATAATATAATTAAGTCAAAAAATATTCAATATTGGGMTTATTTCGAAKGTATTGACGCGACGATTATAATGGTGTAACTTGTTAAAATTAAAACGTACTTTTTAAACATATTTTAATTGATATACGATTATATATGTTAATTTGATCAGGGTATAAAATGAAAAATTTAAAAGAAAAATGCGTAAAGTAAATTAATTAACTAATTATAGAAGTATAAAATGTAAATTTAAATTTTTAAAGTTAAAAAAAAGTGAATCGGTGTGAGTGTGTGAGGGGAGATGGTGTGAGGGGAGATGGTGTGAGAGGGGGAACACATGACAGGGGTAGAAAGTCTTGCAGGGGGTGCAATATCAACCCTCTTTTAAATTATAATTTTAAAGTTATATTTTATACCCTCATAATTAATTAATTAATTTACTTTACATTCTTTATTTTTAAATGTTTTATTATAAACTTTTATTAAATTAACATACATAATCGTATATCAATTAAAACATGTTTAAAAAATACATTTTTATTTTAATAAGTTACACCATTATCATCGCCTCGTTAATACATTCGAAATGAGTCCAATATTGAATAGTTTTTTACTTAATTATATTATTATATATTATATATACTGTGAAAAATATTTTTAATATTTACGATTTATACTTTTATGGTTATTTATTTATATATATACTACATATTTTGAGGTTAGGCTGTCCAAATTGCACTGTATAATATGTTCTGAATTAATATGTTCTTGAGTTTTTTTGAAATATATATATACATGTATTAATTCAAC